AAATGCCAGAGGAAAGGTCATTTTTCAGTTGTATGCTGATCAAAAGCAATAAGAAGGAGCATGCAGGCCATTCTTCTTAGGCTCTAGTGCTTATGTGGGTAGCTCTGATGAATCCCAGAAAGTGAATTTGTGGTAAGTGTATCAGCTTTAATCAGGCTTTATAACTAAAGTCTATTTTCAGGGCTAGTATACAAGATTCTCCGTTACCAATCCAAGCTAAAATTCACAAGCATCACCTTTGATACATCAGTGGCAAGAATAGGCCTTGAAAGTGCACATGACAGAGGAGATAATGTGCATCTCATTTGCTGGGATCTACTGTATGGTCACAGGCTAATATTTAGCCAACATGTAATGGCAGGCCAACACGACTGATGCAGAAGTTCAAAGGGTGCATTGGAAGAATGTGAGTCTCTTGATATGTGAGGCAAGAAAGACAAAATGCTGGAGAGGTAGCAATGCCCTGATAGCAGTGATGCAGAGCATGAAAGCTCAATTTCTGATGAGGTCAGAAAAAAACAGCCAAGGGATCTGAGCATCACAGTAGCAGGTCCTGCAGGATGAAGCAACATATCTTGCATATAGTCTAAGGTCAAACTAAATCCTCAGAGGAGTGCAGTGCATTCAGATAACCACTCTCCAAAGCAATCAGGCAGATAAATGTTTTTCCCCAAGATACAGTATCTCAAGTAGACTTGGGTAGAACTTGCAATTTGCAAATTTTCAAAATTATTTTCAAATTTCTCCATTTGGCAAGTACTTTTAATTATGTAATTACTCTTCTGGTACTGGCAAGAAGGTAATTCAGGAAGGTCTTAAGTATTCCTATACTATGTGCGATTAATTACAAAAGGAGGTCATGGAGGTTTGAGTGTTTCCTTAAGGTTAGCAAGTGCAAAAGTGTTTCTTTGAACCAGAGCCTACATCATCATTACTAATTCAGAGAGAGCAGGAGACAGCTACTAAGGGAGAATATCTTCTGCCTGCAAAAAGCCTGGTGGGTTTCATGCTGCTCTCCTGTGAAATGAGAACAGATGAAGACATATATTCTACAAATGAATCTTTTGTGAGTTTCACTGTTGTCTGTAGCAACTCTGAGGTCATTCTCTGCAGTCAGTTCATTTCTATAAAAAAATAAAGGAATACAGAGTGTTTGGTCTTTTCCAGCTCTCTATGAGAAGAGTGTGTGTTTCATCAACCAAATAGCCCAAAGATGTTTCTTATAAAGGAATAAGTATTACTGGTGTTGCTCCTTTCCACGTAAAAGTAGAACAGGTCTCTTTCTTTCCTATCTAATGTGAGATCACATAAAGTTTCATGAGTAGTTTCTAACACAAGATTTCCACTAATAACCTATTTGGGCCTGCAAAATCAGGCGTGACATTGTCCTACAGAAAGTTTTCATAACAATGGCTATTGTTACAGAAACAAAAATCTAAATATATTTATTCCATGGCTGAAAGCAAAACCACCACAGGGTCAGGGAAGTTTACAATCTATTGTTCTTTAGGAAAGTCAAAACAAATAAAACACAATTATCTGACCAAAACCCAATAGAGTGCAAAGTCACAAAACATCATGCCTTTTTAGTAGTGAGTTACTAAATACAAACAAAATTCATATTCCTCTCAAGGGTTTGGGTAATCCCTATAGCCTGGAAAGGAAACTGAAAACAGAAGACAGGAAGGCCCTGAGGCTTTTAGAAACTTCTGAAAAAAAAAGAAAAAAAAAAGAAAAAAGAAAAAAAAACCCAAGCATATTTCCATAGAAGGTTGGAACACGTGAAAAAGGCAGACAACCTCTGAACACTGACACATGAGTACAGCAATACAAAAAGGATGATTTTCTAATAATGCCAGCTTTGTCTGAGGAAGACTGGAAGAGTGGTTGTCAATCTCTTCGCACAGGAGGGAGAGAAATAGCCAAAAGGGCTACAGTATTAGCCAAAATACTTAGAAACTGTGTGGATGCAAAGTACAACTAAAAAGTCACTGCAAAGGTGAAGAGTATGCTTTCTTACAGGGGAATTCCTGAGGAACTATCATGAAGAAAAAATGGACCATGGTTTATAGAGCAATGTTTCAAAGCTTTTTTGGCAAGATTTAAGTTCCAGTGCATTATCACTAGCCCTCAATGTCCTGAAGCAAAGGCAGAGACTGGAATAAATAGACAAGATGATCCTTCCTTGGCACAGTTATGTACAGATCAGCTCCTGTTATGTCAGCTAAATAAAACAGACTCCATAGGGAAGCACTTGCATTCTCAGTGACTGACTCTTGAAAACTGTCATCTGTCAGTCCATCTATCCACCTACCTATTTTTAGGAGATAGAGATTGCATAGTCTATATTATGATATCCAGTGGTCTCTGAACCATTTAGATTTAGATGGAAATTTAGATGAGGAGTAAAAGTCCTCCTGCAAAATCATAAGAAAATTTGTCTCCACATAATAATGTTTCTACACTAAATCCTACAGGTTTTATCAAGAGTGCCTACACTGCACATTTAAACAATAACAGCAACATTGCAAAGACTCGAGGTATCTGAGGTAAAAAAAAATTTACATGACTTGCTGCAAGAGCAGCCTCTGGTAGTGAAAAAAATATATAAAAATATACATAACATGTATGAATTCAGTGGAATGTTTTTATTCCCCACAGCTGTGCAATCAAAGACACTCGTGAAATGTGCCCATGTTTAAAGCATCCCAAAACATCAGCTCTAAGAAGTGCAATCTGCTCATGACATTCATTCAGCCAAGTCTGAAGCTCGGGATAGCCCATTTAAACACTGTCATTGTTGACTGCTTCATCATTTACATTAGGAGCATTCAAAATGTTTTTTGGTTCTGTCCAGACTCTTCAAGAACCACACTTCTTCTAACCCAGGGTGTGTGTGTGTGCATTAGCCTACTACACTGGGATTTAGGACATCTGAGGTTAATTCCTGAAACATTACAGTATAATCATGCAGTTCCTACATGCCTGACAAGAAGTTATTTGTCATAGATCCTCAACACCTAGTTGAAGTGTTGTCACAGTGTATTTCTAGGGCCTAACCTAAGAGTTGTCCTCCTATCTAGTTGTATTTGGGCAGAAAGCAGGAGTATAAACAGACATTGGCCTTCTCATCAAATTAAAGCAACATCTGACAAGTTACAGATAGTTAGGCGAGATCTTTTATTTATTCATATGCACCTCTCAGCAATTCATCTGGTTCCCTAATTGTCTTGGTTAAGACAAGCAAGTTGCCTCTACTTGCCCCATTTCTAACCACAAATTCTAAGGATCCACTTCACTGTAGCATTTTCAGAGCTACAAAAGGTACTTTTCCCTACTTCCTTTCTCATTTTCTCTCGCACAGAAATGGCACCCAGTGCAAGATTGCCTCTCTTTTCATGACCAATTTAAAAATAATCAGATTCTCAGGAAGATGGCATTGTTCTGTAATTTTTGCTTATGCAAAGTAGGTGTATTTTTAAAAAACCACTCTCCAGAGGAGCTACCATCGTACTTGTTTTTCTTATTGAGAAAAGGGGATATCCCTGAAAATTGCAATTTCCTGGAACTGGGATAAAGAATTCTAGAGAAAGTTCCATGTGAAAACACAAAAAGAGGCAAGGCATTAAGAAATAATATATGATTGCAAGCAAACAAAGAAATGAACTCAGCATAATAAAGTTAATACACTCATGCTTTATTCTTAATGAAGAAAGTAGTAAATATTTTATTACAGACTTAAGACTAATAGGTGACTAATTAAAGGAAATTTTTTCTAATAACAATGTTGCACGACAAGTCCCTCCACCAGTTTTCACAAGAAGAAAAGGAAGAAAAATCTTCCTTCATCCCAAATACATGGATCAGAAAAGCTGCGTGTGGCTGTATCTGATTATTATCTAGCAGTCATATCCCCATCAAACTGAAGTGCAAACCATTTTTCCCAAAGCAAGTTCACCCCTGACAAGAAGTTAAGAACTCTTGACAGAGTTTCCGTAGCATCTCCAAAAATAACTGAGAAATCAGAAACCAACTGGTGAACTTATGGTACAAGAGGCAGACGATGGTCCAGCTCCCTCTTCACAGCTCTTTGTACTTGATGGTGCTGACAACACTAGAGCATGTGTACGTCAATATACTATCTAGATATGAGTCAGAAGACATATGGAGAATACATATGTGTATCTGCAAGAGTAAACTTTTAAAGTCACTTTTCTGTTCATAACCACACTGAAAAAAAAAAAAAAAGAAAAAATAAAAAGAAGAAGAAGGAGAAGAAAACACAAAACACGACCAAGCCAATCAGCCAAACAAAAAAGTTGTTCAAAGCTGACGAACATTGTCACTAGTGCTTGTTTAAATCATTAGCTTTTCATCTCCTTCCTTCTAACTCCAGTGAAGAACATAACCCAAATACATTGGTTACCACTAAACAAATAAATAAATATGTCAGTTTTCTATAGAGACTTTCCCACCACAAAATCTCTGGAAAAAAATTGTGTATACATAGGAGAAAATGCTTTCCAATTCCAAAGTACAATTTTGGAGCTGGACGCGTAATGCAGCCATGTGCTGGGCTATCTATAATCCATACTAGAAAGCAACAGTAGATGGCCTACTTTTCACAAAAAGTGAGAGCTAGAGAAAACCACGTTGTGCCATAGGGAGGGGAAGCACACACACAGCCTTCATTATTAATTGGCATACACAGAAAGAGCAAGCAGAAACAAGACAAGTAAAAGAGAGAAGGGAATTCTCCCTGAAAACATATGGGAAGTACAACACAAGAGTAATAAAACATTAAACAATAGAGCTACAAACACCAATGTGTCCACAGAATGCAATCATTAGTAATGAGCATAATGAAAGCACAGGAAGTGTGACTGCAAAAGTTAGTGTCTTCTCTTACACGTGTGAGAGGGTGCCCAGCAAGAGACTAGGGTGTCTAAATAAAAAATGTATGAAAGAATCTTCCAAGTATCATTTTCTATATAACTCACCAGCCTTCACTGAAGGGAGAAGTAAAGGAAAGCACAGAAAATTCCATTTTGACACCTGTCTTCTAAAACTGTTTTCATTTTCACAATTTCTCTTCATAGTTACGCGTAAGGGAGCTGCAGAAAACAAACACTCGCAGCAAGGCAGCCTTGCAGCAGGCCTGCTTTTCTGTTCACTGATGTCACTGGTTCCCTGGAGTAACTCCTTTTCAAAATCAGCCACCAAGGCTCATATCCCTAAAGGAAAACAAGTGCCCAGCCACTGTTCAGGTGCTCTCTGTTCAAAAAACTGAGTGTGCTGCTTGCTCAATACTTCTGGCTGTCCTTTTCCTATTTGGTTGAACTCTCACACCAGAAGTTTCTGAGTGCGGTCGATGAACATTTACTGCACACCTCAGGAAATATTTCTGCAGGTCTCCAAAGCATTTAAAACACTGGAAAACCAGTGGATGAATGCAGATGCAATGTTGCAAGCAATTCACAGAGTTACTGTAAAAAAGCATTTTGCGAATTTGCTTTTGAATAAAATACACAAAGCCTGTTGGACACAAATACTCAATATAGCAATTGCTTCAAAGTTGTGTTAAACAACAGTAATCATCTCTTCAAACACTTAGTCTTCTAATTAGGATCCAATAAGCTTATTTCAAAGCTGTTGGTGTGACATGAAAGAAGTTTAACTGGACAAGATGGAGGAACTTAGGGGCACAAGAAAGTCAGGAAGGAGAGCAGCATTATTTGGATACACAAGGTTATTGCCAACTTAGTTTGACCAGCTATTAAACATCAGTGTGTAACAAGGGTTGAAATGTATAAAATGGTGGTGATTAATTTTGTCTTGACCTGAAAAGATTGTTTTCCTCAATAATCTTTTGGCACCTCCTACTGACTACTACTACAAAAAAAGTGACATTGGGCCTGAAGGTGTAAAACAAACAGACTGGAAAGTGAAAAGTTTTACTGTGTGGCCTATATTGAACTACACAGAGACATGGAAAGTGTGAAGGAAAAGTAAAACAGAAGAAGTCTGATTCATCTTCATGGAACTCAGAAGGTTTGAGAGTGATATAAGAATGTAAGCATGTAAAAGGTTGGATTACTGTAAGATGATAATGAACTAACAGCAGGTAACCTGGAGCAGAGGGTGTCTGTGAGATACTGCCATGCTCGGCATGGCACAAGTGGCTGAAATCATCAGCACGTGTTTACCCTGAGCGACACTACTATGGCCTATAGGTTGAACTCTGCTTTCAGTTACAGCAGGGTAAACCTACAGTACATCAAAACCCATCAGTGGAGTCACTTTGCATTTACAGGAGCAAAAACGGGAGGAAGGCAGCAGGCTCGATTCCCTACTAGAGCAGTGCAAAGGTGCAGCTCAGTCAGAGGACACACTTGAAAGCAGCTACAGAACAAAGCCGCTCTCCTTGCCAGCCGGGCACACAGTGTAGTAACCACACCCTCCGAGGTAAACCAGGCACATAGAGCAAATCGCTTCTTTTGTGAGTAGGGTTTACTTTATCATTTTGAAAGGCATATTGCTATTTCTTGACATATTAGCACACTTAAATGAGTCACTTAAGAAAATAAACTTATTTGCCTGTGTTTACATTTATTAGTCCTACCCTCTATTGTTAATCAAATTTGTCTAATGCTTTTATCATGCTGTGTTCTAAATAAATAAATAAACACCGCAATTGCCTTTGAAATACTTGTTGCTAGCAAGAAGGTAAAGGCAAGAAAGCACATTGCTGTGTGGCAAGAGTGGGTGGAAGGGATGCACTGCTCCAGGTAAGGGATGATGTCAGTATCCCACCACACTGCTCATTCTTGCTTCGAATATAAGTGACCTGCGACAGGTTGGGAAGACAGAGCTCTACATGCCATAAGTGCTTCCCATTGCTAGTACTGCATTTTACAAGGGATGAACTACTTAAATTGTTCTGTGGCTGGGTTTCAGAGAGGTGCTGCCCTGCACCAAGCCTGCTCTGCTCCTTTTGCAGTGCTGCTGCTACTGCCCAAGGAGCTGGGCCCTAAGCCTCGTTGTGCACCCACTATACTATGTTGTTTCAGAACAAATTGAGTAACAGCTTCTGTACAACATATGTTCCGTTCAAATAGAGCTCTATTTTTGCAGTTGAAAGGCCTGGGGCATTTCTCTCATTCCAAGCCGTACACAAACAAAGAGGGTTTACCACAAAAAAAAGAACCTCTGCTGAAGCGTGGAAGGTTTCTCTTTGCTCCCTCACTCCAGATCCCAGTTTCACCAAGTTGTGCCCCTTTCTTTCATTCTAATACTACACTACTTGATCCGACAGGTCTCTTCTGGCAGCAGCCCTCTTGGTTTCCCCTTCTCTTTCAGACTGACAGACTCAACTAAGACTTAGATGTCAGAAACTGTAGGTATTATACCAGAAAGGAAATAGAGCTCATATGCTGCTGCTGATTTTTTTCATTCCAAATTTCTGTTGATTCGTTCTAACCATATCACTGGATTCTCATTGCTACCTGACCTAGGCTAAAGCCAAATTTCCCTTTAGAATGAATGAAGAAATAGGGTAGTGCCTTAATCACTGTTTCCTGGCACTCACACTGTTCCAGAACACCACAGATTCACAGTGTGGGTGCTCAGGTACACTCCAAGGCTCATGCAGAAATACAGTGGCTCTCCAATGGCATGTGCTGCCATCTCCACTGCTGGAGCAGTAGTCAGAAGAGTTCTTCCTCCTGTCTCTGAAGATGTGCACATGCTGCAAAGTGGGACTGGGAGCATGTCCCTGCACTCCATGTAGACTGGGGGATTGTTTCCACTTGATGGTGCAGGGGGACCGTGCCTCCTGCTGGCCCCCCCTCACTTCACCAGCATTTTGGCCCTGAGCAGGTGACCACAACACTCATCTTCAAATGCAGGTGGTGACACTACCTCCTGTCCTTGGGGACAGTGCCCTTCCCACTATGGGGTGCTGAGATTGTGCATGCTCCCAGTGCACCTTACTGGAATGAAACACTGATGCTCATGGTTGGCCATAAATACAATCACAGAATTAGAAAATCATTTGAGTTGGAAGGGACTCTTAAGTGTCATTTGGTCCAAAGCCCCTGCAATGTACAGAGACAATTTATAGATAGATCAGGTTGCTCAGAACCCCATCCAGTCTGACCTTGAGTGTCTTCATGCATGGGGCATCCACCACTTATCTGGACAACATGTTCCAGTGCCTCACTACCCTTACTGCAAAAACTTCTTCCTTATATTCAGTCTCAATCTCCCCTCCTTTAGTTTGAAACCATCTCCCCTTGCCCTTTCACAACAGACCCTGCTAAAGAGTCTGTCCTCTTCTTTCATATAGACCCCTTGGGATACTGAAAGGCTGCTCTCAGATCTCCCTGGAGCCTTCTCTTCTCCAAGCAGAACAGCCTCAGCTATCTCAGCCTGTCCTCATAGGAGATGTTTCCATCCCTTGGGTCATTTTTGATGGTCCATCCTCCTCTGGATGCATTCCAACAGATCCATGTCTGTCCTGCAACTGAGAACTCTGTATTTGGATGCAGCACTCCCTGTGACATCCCTTACCCTTACCTGTGAGCTGAACAGACACCTCTGAGGGACCCAGCACTTGATGCAATCTATGCTAAATCAGAAACAGTCACCTGTCTTTTTCCCAGCCTTTTTAATCAATCCTCATAATTTCTTTTAAGATAAACTGTTAGGAAGTTTGCATTAAAAGGAAACGTACTTTTTTTTAAATTTGTCTTCCAACATCTCCCCAAAATCTGATTTTCAATTATAAAAATACCACAACTGCAGTTGAAACGTTACAGTAACTCCATTCTAAAAGTGAAACTAAAAAAGTGAAAGTTGCTTACTGCTTTTCACTGCACAAGCTGAGAGAAATGCTGAAAGTAAACATAAAGCACAGACCAATGTGTTTATAAAAATGCTCCTGGCACTTGAAGATGCCTTTGGAGCAGAGGGAAAGAAAGGTGAGCATCTGTAACACTCGTGTTAGAAAACCACGTGTGTGATTGAATGCACTGCACGATACTGATCCCACAGTACTTGCAGCTTACGTGGCAAACGTAGAAAAACTAGGAATAACACACAGCTAGAGGCAGCTCCTGGGATTTCCCGAAGCCTGAAATGAATTGCAGCCCTCACCTATCCACCTGGGGATCCCCGATGTGAGTGCTCACTGCTCTCCTCCCATAGAGCTCCTGCTCTGCCTGGCTGTCCCTGCTCAGCCCACTGGCCCATGGAGCAGATTGCTGTGGAGAGGCACTGGGGCTGCACACAACACATCCTGGGGCTGATGTTCAACAGGGATTTGCACAATGGTCTGACTGTGCTCTTAGCTCCACGTTGAGGTTTTTGTTTGCAGCAGAGGTGTAGGAAATCAGGTAACTCGATGTGTATTTACTGCTTATATAATTACCTCTATTAAATTACTTATATAATTTGTGTAAGTAAAAGATCCCCAGAACACACAGTTGCACTGCTTACAATTACTCCGTTGGTTGATGCAATTACTATAAATAGGCTGAGAGACATCACTAATTAATGAAGTCGGAGGGGTAACACAAGAGCTCTGCGGCTGCACATACCCTGCACAAAGCACATGGGAAGGGGGATTCTTGTTCTGTGGGGCTTTGGCAAGTGTCTACCAGAAAGAACCTTTACATCCTAATTGCCTCAGGCTACACACGCTCAGAAAAGAAAATGAACAAGGAGGGTCATGGCTCATTTTTAGCTAAACTTAGCAGCACCAGTGGAGCCTATGTATGTGTCTGCCTGATTTCAGTGGGCTCCATACATGTGGACTCGGGGAAGACCAATCAGTAAACCTGGAGTGATGGTGCAATTTCCCTCTTCATTTTGACCATGATAAAATGTTTTATTTGCAATTTTAAGTATTTTTATAAACTAAATGTATTTATAAACTAAGTGTGTGTGGGAAGGGGGAAAAAAAAGCTTTTATTCAGTCAGTGAAGAAAAAATGTGGTCTTGCATAAAACCTTCAGAAGAAAACTGGGCATCCTAACTGCTCTCTTGAGAGCAATAATAGACATTCTTTGCATTTATTCAGCGAATTTGCATCCAAATGGAGAAGATGTTGGATTTGTCTCAGTTCACCTCGAAACGTTTACAAAAATCAGCTCAGAAAGACACTTCCTGCAGCAGCAGGGAGGGATAACCTCGCACCGCTCATGTTGTACCTATGTGGACAATTGCACCATTTCCCTCAAACGTGCAATTTCTGTCACAAAATCAATAGCGCCTGCTCCGAGCAGCAGACCCGGCTGGTCCCGGCCCAGCCTTACAGCTGCACTGTGATGTACTGCGGGCCTCTGCGTGCCGAGCAGCGCGGAGCGGGGCAGTACCGATGACTCTCGTTTACAGCGGAGGATGCGGGACTGGACTTTAACGGGGCTGCTGTTATCATCCCCGTTACTTGTAGGAAAGCGGCATCTTAGTACGGCGCCCAGTGCTCAGATGCAGCAGACTCGTTTAGAGCTAGACAAACAGAAGCCGAGAGAGCAGGCAGCTCCCGTCAGAGGTGTGAAAAGCAGCAACAACGGGACAACAGAGCACGATTCTGGGGGACAACGCGCTCCCCACGAAGCGACGTCCACGCGGAGCTCAGGACACGGGCCGGCCCGCCGAGCCCCCTCCCCCAAGCCGTAAGTCGGCGGCCCCGCAGAGTTGGGAGCGCCCCGACGGGGCGGCCCCGGGGGCTGCAGCGCTGTGCCCTCGCCCGGCTCCGTCCCGCTCCGCCCGGGGGGACATCGGGCCCGTCCCGCCGGGACTCCGCGCGTTGGCGCCGCCACCCCCGGGAGCGCCCGCGGCCCCGCGGCGGGAGGCACCGCTCCGCCCCGTCCCGCCCCGCCCCGCCGGGGCTCATTGATGATTCGGAGCCTTTGAGGAAAGGGCGAGCGCGGTGCGAGTGCTTCGCGGCCCCGTTTTTACAAAGTACGGCGCGGAGCCTGGGAACTCGGCGCGTTTCGCCATCTTTTTTCACGTCCTGACTCATTTCTGTAGCAAAAAAAACGTGTTCTCTGGTGCCGATCGGACACCCACCACGGCTCCCGGGCACATCTCCGCGGGGAACTATCGCCAAAATCCCCGCGGCACCGCGCCGCCGCCCCACACCCCAACACGCACGCAAAGCGCGCTCCGTGCCGGGGCCGCTCAGCCCGCAGCAGGTGCACCCGGGGAGGGACACCGAGGGGGCGGGAGGCGCGGAGCGCCCGGCGGAGGTCTCCAAAACGCGGTCGTTCTCCTCGTCCGGGGGTCTGACTCCCCGCTCCCGACGGCTGCTTCCTCCCAGCCTTCGTCCCACCGGGGACTGCGGCGGGGCGAGAGGGGGTGCCGAGTGCCGTGCCCCGCGCTGCCCCGTTTCGCCCGCCCTGCTCCCCGCCGCCGCGGCACGGGGCCGCCACTCGGCGCCTGCGCACTACAGGGGCGCCAGATTTGGCGGGAGGGGGAGTGTCCAAAAGCCCTTTGTTTGATGGCATCTCTGTTTACAGAGTTTACTCTTTAATCTCAACCTGTTTCCTCCTCCTCCTCCCGCGGCTCCTCGGCACTTCGCTGAGCGGCGGCGGAGCGCCTGGGCGCAGCCCGGCAGCAGGGCGCGGCGGCGGGCGCGGGCTCCCCCGTCCTCCTCCCCCAGCGGCCGCCGCGAGGATGGCCCGGAGACCCCGGCACAGGTAACGGGGCGGGGGGTCCGCGCTGTCACACGGGACGCGGGGCTGCGGGAGAAGAGCTCTCCCGTAACGGGGCGGCAGTGCAGCCGCCCCCGTCGCACCTGAATCGCCCTGGCTCCGCAGCGTCCCTCGCCCCGAGGGGACGTACCGGGCGCCCCGCGCTGCCCCGCGCTCCACAGGGACGAGGGCTCGCTGCCCACCCGTCCGAGGCTGCCTGTCGGGAGCTGTCGGGACGGCGGGCAGCGCGTCCCGTCCCATTCATTCATTCATTGCCGGCGGGCCGTGACGGCAGGTGGGCGGCGGGCGTGGGGCTGGGCTCTCTCTTTTTCTTATTCTTTCCTTTTTCTTTTTTTTTCTTTTTCTTTTTCTTTTTCTTTTTTTTTTTTTTTTCTTTTTTTTTTTTTTTTTTTTTTTTTTTCCTTTTTTCTTTTTTTCTTTTTTTTCTTTTAATTTATTTCCCCATTTTATTTCGCAGCCGCTGCCTCTTCCCCACAGGAGCGCGGCTCTGCCCCACGGGTGCGGCTGCGCGCCGCGAGGTTGGGCTCTGCCCGCACGCACGGCGGAGGGCGTCTGTGGGGTGCGCTCCGCGGAGCTGTCACCGTGCCCGAGCCGAGGCCGGACGGGACGGGACGGAACGGGCGGGCGGGCGGGCGGTAGTAAGAACCTCGTGGTCGCGTTCGCCGCTGCGCTGCCGGGCGGGCGCTTGGCGTGGGGTTGTTGTCTAATTAGCAGCGGACGGCGGGTCGGACACGTGGAGGCTTTTTTCTCTTTCTCTTTGCATTCTCCCCTCTCCCCTCCCCTCCCGCTGCGCTGTGACAGCGGAGCGAGGCGCGCTTCTGCCTCTCCCCGTCAGTCTGCCGGCCCCGTCCGTCAGCGCTCGCGGCCGCGCGGCCGCTCCCGAGGAGAAGGGGCTTTCGGCGTGGCAGCGGGCGCGGGGTGGCGCGGAGCGCGGGGTGCCGCTATGAATCACCCCGCCTGCCGCTGCCGGGCCGGGCGCCTCGCGGGCGCCTCCCGCAGGGACTCGGCCGCCTCCGGGAGCGGCCGTGCCGGCGGGAGCGGAGCGCGGGCTGCCGCCAACCCCGCGGGGCGCGGCGCGGCGCGGAGCGGAGCAGGAGCGGGCTGTGCCCGCGGGGCTGCTGCTGCCCGAATTCCTTCAATCGCGGTAGCGGCAGCAGCGAGTCATTTCCTCTCCACCCTCTCTTTTCTTTTTTCTTTTTTTTTTTTCCCCTCCCTTCTTGCCCCCCCCCCCCCCCCCCCCCCCCCCCCCTTCCCTCCCGTTAGCCGGTTGCTCTAAGAGAGAGCCCGGCGCTGTTCTGACTCCAGTCTTCAACCCCTGCGCCGGTTAAAGTTGTGGGGGCTCCGAGTATCCCGAGGGCGCGGGATGCTCTCCCGCCGCTGGAGCACGCGGGGAACGCGCTGGGTTCTCCGTCAGCCAGGTCCGGCCGAGCCACCCGCGCTGCCAAGCGTGCTCCGGGAGCAGCGCGGCGCGGGCGGGATGCACTTCTTCCCTCTGCCAAACTCCTGGGAGCCGCAGAGCTCCCTTTGCGCGCGAGCAGCTCTGATGGCAGATGAGCGCCCGAGCTCTGCCCGCCCCGGCGGCCGACGGCGCTGTCGGTGCGTGACCCGGGCGCTGAGTGGCCGCCGCGGCAGCTGGGCATACACATGGGAGCAGACGATGGGGAGCGTCCTGCGTGGAGCGGGGCAGAAAGCAGGGCTGCAGACTGTGAAGGCGCGATTAACCCCGCGTGCTTTAAAGGGTGTGTGCTCAACAGCCCGCGTTTGAGGTGTCTGCGTCTTTGCTGCAGCTTGTTTTAAAACGTGGTCTCCTGAAAACAGGAAAACAGGATAAACAATGCTTGGGAATTAGGGTTAGTGAATTGCCTTATTACAAAATGACTGTATTTGACTGCCTTAGTCATCCTGTAACATCCCATAGCTCTGTGCCATCAGATAGAGCGCAGTTGTTCGTCTCATAACATAACACTGTTTCTGTTTGAGCGCTGTAGTTTCGTCTCTGCCAGTGTCAAAAGTGCTGTTCCTATCACAGAAGTTGGAAATAAAATGTTTCCCAGCAGAAAGGCAGCCCTGTTTGCAAAGCCGTCCTAGTTCACTGGGGGAAAAGTGCTGTTTGTGAGAGTGGTGAGAGCCCTTTTTACCCCTGATAGCCTCTGGGGAAATCCCTTAGTCATGAAGGAGGTGAGCAGCAGTATGTCAAAAACAATATGAGGTATTTAGAAATGGAGTAGAGGTAATAAAGCCTTGAATTAGCAAAATGGGCAGTGCAAAGTGGCTCAATCCTTCATTGGTTGGTTGCAGGATACTCTGTATGCTTGTCTACATTTATGCTACCACTCACTGGCTTCACTTCATCACAGAAACTTCTGTCTTCACACACAGGACCCATAAACATGGGCTCGAAGAAGGTCATTATGGGTGAGCCTTTTGTATTCATATATCTCGTTTGGGAGCCATGCAGCTACCTGTCCTATTGGCCATAGCAAACCACGAACACTGTTCAGAACTTGTGGCATGAGTTAAAGATCGTGAGCGTGCACTTGTGTAATGGACACAGCCTCCAGTTCTCTTTATTGTCCCAAACATTGTGTTCTAATTCGAAACCCCCATTGGCTGAAAGTTTGCCAAATGTGTAATTCACCACCGATCTAATAGTGTGAGCAGGTCCAAACATGCATGGCAGCGAGGAGGCTGCCAGCCCTTTGCTTGTATCTGTGGATACCAAAAACAGCAGAACCAGTTCGGAATACAAGAACAACAGAATGCAGAACAAAATCTTGTTGTGCAAGTTTTAAAACTTTTATCTGTGTAACCTTTGTAAAGATTGTGTGTTTTCTGTGTGCTGTGTAATTAAGTAGCTCCAGTCCTCACGTTCCGCTCTGTGTCTTGCTGTGTTTCCTGCTGCAGCATATACAGCAGCGATGACGATGAAGAAGATGTTGAGATGTACGACCATGATTACGACGGCCTGCTTCCTAAGGCTGGGAAACGTCACCTAGGGAAAACCAGATGGACCCGCGAAGAGGTAATTGCCAGTTCGGTCATCTCCTGCATGGGGGAAGTCAGAAGGAGAGTGTAGCAGTGACAGCTCTGAGAATTAAGATGGTTTTGACCCATTAGTTACATGCAGCGTTTTACTTCGCTTTGAGGATCGTTGGTTTCTTTTAAATGTCCACCACGGTCTGCCTTGCAGGTATTTGAGCTTCTGTAATCCCTGTTGAAGAAGCAGACAGAGTCACCTGTGGCAGTGCTGGGCGCTTCCCGCTGCCTCTTTGTGTTTGAGAGTGGTTGCTATGTGTGAGCTGACGTGTGCTCTGTGTCCCACAGCAGCAAACAACTGTGGCAGAAACTGCTGCAGTACTTTTGTGCCATTTGAAATTTGCACTTCAATTGCAGCATTGTGATTCCGAGAGGAAATAAATTAAAAGCTGGAAGAAAGAAACCCAGTCGTAACAAAATTGAGCATTTGAGATGTGGTTTGCCTCTGAAGGTCAGAATAATGCCTTAGTCACGGTACCCTTGTGCTGACTTTCCAGATAAATTCTGATATCAAACTCCTTTGCCAGGTGGATGTCCCATGGCCATTGAACTGGTTTGTGCTCATTATGAAATGCATTAATACAGTTATTGAGTTATGTTTTGACTTTCTCCTCTCTGACAACGTATATTGATATATAAACAGAGGCAGGTCACCTTTTGCAAGCACTTATTTTTTAATCCACAGCCTGCTGTTACGGCAGTGGCTGTGGTGGTGATGGCTGCGTGGCCCAGTGGCCTCTTCCATGTCACAAGGACCAGGAGTGCCCAGGGAGGTACCATGGGAGTCATTGCCCTCCTCCTATCTCCTGGGGCAGTTCTTGTGAGTTCCCCTATCTTGATCTTTCCCAATACATGATACTGCTGCTTTTTTGTCTCGAGGGTCTATATTTCTGGCCTTATCATTAAAAATACTGGGCTAAGTTTCTTGCTGTTGCAAGCATGCAAAACTCCCTCACAGCCGTCAGGAGCACTCATTTTATTGTGCTTTCATTGTAAACGGACCAGCAATGAACAAATTACTGGAACTCCCATTACTTGCAAGACATTCAAAGCTTAAGGCTGTGATTTCCAGAGGTCCCCAGACAGCTGGGTGCCTCAGTGTCATTGTTTGCTGTGATGCCTGGCATCAAAAATGTCCAAGCGCTCCTGTAAATCCAGTAACAGAGTAACAGTTACACAGCTGGGAGCAGTAAAATGGGAGTCAGAGAGCATGGAAAAAATCAGCCTTTCTCCTACAGCACTGTAAAGAGCCTACCAAAATCCATGGAAGAAGAAAAACCTCCGGATCTGGGCAATTAAAAACACAAGAAGACTGCAGACCACCTCCTCTTACTCTCAAGACACAAGCCAACAAAAGTAATAGATACATACAGAGTTAGAAGTGGGCAACTTAATTTTGAGTGCCTTTCATTTGCATCATAAGAGATCATGATATTAATTATTTTATTTATCTATTTATTTTTAATGATTCAGGATGAGAAACTGAAGAAACTTGTGGAACAGAATGGTACAGAAGACTGGAAAGTCATTGCCAATTTCCTTCCTGTAGGTGGACACTAGTTTCTGTTTCCAATTCTAGTGACAACTCTTTATCAGAGGTTTCCAAGTAAGGGAAAGGGGAGTGGTTTTTGTAGTGACTTTTTTGCGGGAGATAAAACCTCCACATCTGGAGACCTCAAAAGTTTGGTTAGAACTCTGTGAAGCCCTTGCCTTAATTTTCCTTTCACTTCTCAGAGAGGGCCAGGGAACATCAAACAGACTAAAATGGGGGCCAGGGAGTGTTGCATGATCAAAGGTCAATGTAAAGCTGAAACAAAATGTCTTAGTGCAGAGAAAAAAAGTAGCTTTGGTGAACTCTGGGTAAGTGGTTTAAAAGAGAATTGTGAACACTACAGCTGTAGCAGAAGCACAGCAGCTATTGTGCCAGAGGATGAGGATTGAGGTTGTGTAGTCTGGGCTATACAGCTGCAAAAACTATAGAAACAGTTGCACTGACCAAATGATAGTTGGGCACCTTCTTCTCTGACCTATTATATGATTGCTTTTTCTCTTAGTAATCGTAGTTGGCTGTGAAATATGCTGGAGGCGCATAGATAAGAGAGTTATCACTCTACATTCATCTTTTTCAAAGAATAATCTACTTGTGTGTTTTATATTTCATTAGAATCGGACAGATGTTCAGTGCCAGCACAGGTGGCAGAAAGTGTTAAACCCAGAACTTATCAAAGGTCCATGGACTAAAGAGGAGGATCAAAGGGTAATCAGTTTTCCCTTCCATTTAATTAATACCTTAATAACAGATTTCATGTACTGGGGCAAAATTTCCAGAGAGCTGAGTGGTTTTAACTGTTGTAACTGCCTGAGGCAGGACTGATACTGCCTTATCAGTGCTTAAGTATTTCTAAGTTTTCTATGCAAACTATTTAATTTTGCTTTATAGCGCTGTAATGTAGAAATGCAATCTAGAAATGCCGTAACTGTTACGAGATTTTTTTCTTTTGGGTAAAAGTGTAAATGGGAAACAGGGAACCTTAATTTTGTGTTAGTTTTTCTATAGCGATTTTGAAAAACATCGTTGAAAATACTTCTCCACTGCAGTAAAACTTTCATTGATTCATTATGCATCATTAAATACAGGCAGTTTTTATGTCCTTCTTTGAAGGTAATAGAACTCGTGCAGAAATATGGTCCAAAGCGCTGGTCGGTCATTGCTAAGCACTTGAAGGGAAGAATTGGAAAACAGTGCAGGGAGAGGTGGCACAACCATCTGAATCCAGAAGTGAAGAAAACCTCCTGGACAGAAGAGGAAGATAGAATTATTTACCAGGCACACAAGAGACTGGGAAACAGATGGGCAGAAATTGCAAAGTTGCTGCCTGGACGGTAATGACATATGCCTTCACCTCTTAAATAGGAAAAAAAGGAAAAGCTGTAGGTTCAAGCAGGCTTTTTCAGCCTTTGCATTATAAATAGAAAATTTTGGAATCAAAACCTGGCAAGCCAGTGACATCAATGTGCTTTTGTCTCAGTGGGAAAGTGTGCTGTTTGGTCAGTACATGGAACAGCATGACATTTTTACATGCTTTTAATGTTTGCCATAGACAAAAAAAAGCAGTAAGTAGAGCAAGACTGTACAAGTTTCCTGAATGTATGTTCAATAATTGACAAAATTGAAAATAATTTAACAGTCAGACTTGCAAGTGGAACTTAGTTTACATTCAGCCAAGAGTGTACTTGCAAAGTGAAATCCAGTATGTTGGCTCAGAATGATTTCGGAGAAGGCTGCTTCAGCGTTTGTCATTGCTCATGAATTATCCAGAAGGTATTTACCTATAATCCACATATAAATCCTCATATAAAATTGGAGAATCTGACTTCCTTGGGCTGCAGTCCTGGAAATACTTATCTCATTGAAAGCACATGCACAAGTTACATATACTTTTAGGTATTCAGAGTCTTACTCACTGTACAGTAGAAGTGACTCAACATAAAGTGTGTTGAGCAACTACTGTAAGCAGAGGAGGGTTTTCCGTTCCCATTTTTATTCCTGTTTCTTGTTGAAGCATCTTCAATGCCTGAGATTGTGATATCATTTCAAGTGGGCATTCCATAAGCTGCTTCCACCTTCCAGAAGAAGGCAAGAAAGCAGTTACTACTTGGAAAGTTTCTATGTAGCCCCCACACATCACTGATATTAATTTCAACCTTATTATGTGGTGGTGATTTTTTTCAAGCGGAGGAACAGTTGCTGACTGTATACAATCTCACAGACTTGTTATGTTTACTTTTTCTGGCCCATGATTCGGAGAGTTTGAACCTCAGTTTTTCTGAGGCAAATAGCCATCACAGCAGTGTTGTTTACCAGGTTTGTGTGCAGAGTACAGTGCTCTCATTGCCTAGGTGGTCAGCTGGAAAGTTGCTTGGAAGCTGGTCTTTTGACAGCTGTGCTCCATAGCCTTTCTTTCTAGTAGTGAGTCACAATAAAACAGTAAGACTTGCAAAGGTGGTGCTGGTAGTCTTCAGGGGAACATCAGAGAAGTGTTGGGCTCAGTGTCACCTCACCTCATGGGAATGGGGTGAAGCTGATGGTATTCATTGCTTGCAGTTTGAGTACTTCAGGCTTATATGCTTTATATGCTTCAGGCAGCGTATAAACAACAGTAGCTCAGTTGTCTTTTTCCCTCCCTTTTACAGTGAGCATCTTTCCTGAGAGGTTGAGGGTAGCCTTTGTAAGGGCCAGGGCCAGGGGGAGGTCAGAGCACTGCTCAGGGTTCGAACAAATGCTAACAGCGTCCTCCTGCCTGTTAGCCTCACTTATAACACCCCTCATGCGTACACGTTTCTGTTGCAGGACTGATAATGCTATCAAGAACCACTGGAATTCCACCATGCGCCGGAAGGTCGAGCAGGAGGGCTACCTGCAGGAGTCCTCCAAAGCCGGGCTGCCCTCAGCAGCCACCGGCTTCCAGAAGAGCAATCACCTGATGGCCTTTGCCCACAACCCACCCGCAGGCCCACTCCCCGGGGCTGGCCAGGCCCCGCTGGGCAGTGATTACCCCTACTATCACATTGCTGAGCCACAAAACGTAAGCTCCTGGAAGCGCTTTTCGGTTTTGTTTCCTTCTGTGGGATGGGTGGGTGCAATTCGGTTGATTTCCAGTAAAACAAAGTTTTGGGTTTTTTTTTCCCATTTGTGGAGAATTGATCTATGTTTGGGGTCAGGTGAGGATGGTTTGGACTTAAGCAGTGATGGGTATATGCCTGCTTCAAATCCACTGCTGACATACAGGTGGAGTCAGGTTCAGCGTATTTAGCATCTTGTAACCACTGGAAATGTTTTGAGTGCTATTTTTTATAGTGGTGAATGTAGACATGTTGAAAATGAGTTAAATCTGATTTACTCTGTGTTCTCTCTCAAAATCTTCTGGGTTCATTTTGGCCATACTCTGTGAATGGATTCCCTATCAGAACCAAGTAAACAGTAGTGTTTTAATCTGATTCCATTCCTATTAACAATTAATAATGAAATTAATAATTAAGCAGGCCTCTGCTTTAAATGCTTACAATATAGTTTTAGATGATAAAAAATTGCATCTTTTGTTTTTTTTGAGATAGATACATCTCACAAATGCATCTACAAATTATTCATTTTTTTCATCAGGAGGGTACATGCTCCATTTGTAAATGTTCTTTCTCCCTCTGTAGTACTCACTGTCATGTTCTAAAAGCTGTTTGTTTTGCTTGTAAATTTTTCTTTATAATATTAAGCTTGCAAAAGCAAATGTGTTTTTAAAGCAGATTCACAACGTAGGCAGGTGATATGCCAGAAGTAATAACTTTTAGTCTCTTTTGCTTTTTGGCCTAGGTCCCTGGTCAGATCCCATATCCAGTAGCACTGCATGTAAATATTGTCAATGTTCCTCAGCCAGCTGCTGCAGCTATTCAGGTAGATAATTTGAACATCATTTCTAGAGACAATTTGTTAAACCTTTGCTAAGTCAAAATGCAGACGTCTTACCTTAAGGAAACATTTTAATGTAATATGTGTGAAGAGAGAAAATGGGGAAGGTGGGGGAGTTCTGACCTGGCTAATAATTGCTTTTTCTGAAGTGAATTTAGCACACAGTAGTTGTCTTCTAGCGTGATAGATTTTGCTTTCTCCATTTCAAATGTCTGAACTGAAATTCAGCAGGGACTTTGATAGTGGAAAACACGATTGACATTTGTTTCATCTTTTGAGTCTAATTTGGCTATTATAACCACAGAACGGCAAGCCACGAGCATTTTAGTTGCTACATCCTATCAGACCTTTATCTTTTCTTTTCCCTTAACTCTTAATTTCAGAGACACTATAATGATGAAGACCCTGAGAAAGAAAAACGAATAAAGGAATTAGAGTTGCTACTAATGTCGACTGAGAATGAACTGAAAGGGCAGCAGGCATTACCAGTAAGATTGTCACTGTGTGCTTGGATGGAGGGATAGCAGCATTACCCCAGTGCTTGTCTTTTTAACTTTTTACTCCCCCTTTGCCTTTGATACTAATCGAGGCTCTATATTTCTGTTTTAAAAGGATGAAACATAGCACATGCATACTCTGTATCTGCTTTGTAAATTCTGTGATAAAAAAAATTCAATTTGCAGGTATTTTACTTTGCAAAGTGGGAGCAGGGCTGGGCTCTGTAACATTACATAATGTTGGAAATGTGATGATTGTACTCAAATGAAAAATCCCACAGATCTTAAACCAATGGGAACTGCGTTTTTCAAAGTGTGCAATGGTTCATGTGATGAAAATGTAGTGCCTATACGTTAGATTTTTCTTCTCTGTTGTATTCTTTTCTTCAGCTGTGTTTTATACACTTTGTAAGCTTTAGACTTGGTGCATGTTTGACAGTTTGTTTTACTTCTCCAAATAATGGTAGATCCTTCATAACTGCATGTGTGGAACAAATGCTGGCTATTACTGAATTCTTACACTTTGTTGTATGTGCCATTGAATGTTTATATGTGAAAACCCTCACTTAGATACTTAACACCATCACCAAAGCCAAGAGTCCACAAATCATTTTGGAAGAAAGGTGATAGCCAGCAGATTCTTTGTTTTGGTTTGTTTTGGTTTTTTTTTTTTTGGGTAATATTTAAATTAATAGTAAAAACAACTGCATGCACGATACGTTAGTTTGGCCACTTTTTAACTTTAGTTAATGTTTTGCAATTTCTTCTGTTGCATGATCACACTGGAAAGAAACTTCTGTTAATATGTTCTTCTGCTTTCCTAACCACGTTGATTTGACAGCCTCTTCATTGCATTGGTGTAAGCTGTAGTGTTAGACAGGGATAGAAGAAGAGAAGGAGATAAGTAAACAAAAGCAACTCTAACTCTAAACTCTTTAGTGTTCTACAGTGCTGAGTGCTCACTAGGGAAACCCTGCCATTTCATGCTTCTCACAGAAAATGACTTGCAGACACTTGTTGAACTTTTGGAGTAATGCAGTACAAATTGATAATCTACTAGTCATGACACACATTCATAATCCTGGAAGTGAATTATGAGGTAACTTTGGGATAACAAACACAGTGCTGAAATTTCTTAAAACAAGGTCTTGCACTGATGAAAGGAAACATCTTGACAATTGTTTCATAGGCATAAGTTTTTAGATGATGATGCAACTACTTTTATCTTTCCTCCAGTGGCATCTGACGCCTTATGCAATTTCATTGCTAAGTTCCTTCTGCCTTCCCCCCCCTCCTTTCCTTTTTTTTGCTTCTTCCTTTAGACACAGAACCACACAGCAAACTACCCCGGCTGGCACAGCACCACGGTTGCTGACAATACCAGGACCAGTGGTGACAATGCACCTGTTTCCTGTTTGGGGGAACATCACCACTGTACTCCATCTCCGCCAGTGGATCATGGTTGCTTACCTGAGGAAAGTGCGTCCCCTGCACGGTGCATGATTGTTCACCAGAGCAACATCCTGGATAATGTTAAGAATCTCTTAGAATTTGCAGAAACACTCCAGTTAATAGACTCCGTAAGTAGAACTGTCGCCTCAGGTGCATTTGTGTGTGGTCAAGGAGTAAGGGTAGAGGAACTGGGACCATCCTAAAAGTATTGTTGGTTTTTGTTTTTTTTTTCTGAGTAACTTCTAATTGCTACAAGATCCGAAGCTTAGCTTCTGAAATAACAACATATGTCTGCTTGTAATTGAAGCCCCTGAGTGTGGAAGCGTTTGCTTTCTGTGCATGTCTCCCTTTCCTGCTACACTTTGGTATGGGAATGTGATTAGTGAATGACACATTATGAGTTTCAAACAGCCTCTTACTGTGTTGCATCTCCCTAAGCTAAAAGCAGAGACACCATGGAAGATTTTAAACAGTGAAATAATACTTTTTTAGATTGGAAGTGACACATGCTGTAGGTTTACATGTGGCTGATCATGTATCTGCATCATTTTTTAAAATTTCCTGTCGTAGCATCAATTGCTGTTTCCTAGAGCAAAAAGGGTTTGCCCTAGCATATGTGAGGAACTGGAAACACTGTTTTTAACTCCAAGGTAGCTGAGTGACACTCACATGTCCTTTTTCCATAGCGATCTCCAGGCTACTGTGTGTAAAAGGAATGATGAGGGGAAATATGTTTGCTGGTGGCACTCTGCTTCAGCAGCGGAGGGGTCGGCTTTACGCAGTGCCAAATCCCCTTCTGCACCTCCAGAGCAGTTGTGCTGGCTCAGAGGAGACCAATCTTGGCTGGGAGTCTAAGGCACATGCTTTTTTTTCCTAACGATTTTTTGTCTTTGTTCTGCACAGAAAATGCTGGACTAGCCAATAGCAAGGACATCATTTGACTGACTGTTTCTTTAGGACCTCACCAACACTGATAGAGTGCTAGCTCGATATGCTTGACATATAGATCGAAAACACAAATAAGGGATTTGAGAATCAGTAAACAAATAAACACGGTAAAGCAGAATTGAATTGGGAAAGTCTTTGTATCCTAACACTGCATTTTCATGAGGTGGCACTATATACTGTCTTATGGCTCCGTGCCTCCCACGTCGTTTCAGGATCCTTCATCATGGGGTGATCTCAGCAGTTTTGAATTCTTTGAAGACACAGACATTCTGGCTGGCAAAACTACTTCAGGCAGAGCCGTGCAGCTGCAACATGGAGGGGCCAGTGCTTGTAGACCTCCAGGACGCCCCACCTCAAACCTGAGCAAAACCATGTCCAGTCAGGGCCCTCCTGGCTCACCAAAGTCCTTGTCTGCCTCGCAGGGCAGTGCGACTCCGTTGGTCCTTCGCAAAAGGAGAGGGCATGCCAGCCCCTTAGCCAGTAGCCCCAGTAGCACCTTGGGACTGGCTGATGGCAGCAGCTCAACTTCTAAGCACTCCCCTGTCAAAAGCCTGCCCTTCTCTCCCTCACAGGTAGATCAAGATTTCTGCACAGCTGTTACTAATTCTCAAAAGTCGCTGCAGTGTTAACAATTTAGAAACTAATCCTTTGGAACAAATGACTAATTACCATTGCACTCGTTGATTTCACGCAATTTTTGAATCTTCTCACTATTCCTAGTCTTCACCACTGAGTGTAGATCATCTGCGAGCTAACTGTTGATTTTCTTCTTTCAAATTCATCTGTGGAGCTTGGGTTTTTCTTTTTGATTTGGTTTGTTTTTGTAGGGGATTGTGATTGCTTGCTTTGCTCACGCTGTTAACTCCTTCAGCTACTAGAGTTAAACATTTCTGATCATTGGTAATACTTTCCATCACTGTCCACTTACAGTATGATTCATTGACCTAGAAAACCCCAAACTGCATTTAAATAGCATTCAGGCTGTGAGACAAACTGGCAACAACCAGAAAATTCCAATTGTGGGGCGGAGTAGAATAGGAATGAGGAGAAGGTCTGCCTCTTACAATTGTCCAGTGTGCACTTTGAAATTCCTGTGCATTGTTGCTTTGTTTCACAGCTGCAGCACTATTTAAAAGTGTTTTGTTTTCGTTTGTCTGTTTCTGTTGTTTTTTCCTTGATTTGGCATTAAAGACAGATAAATACTTTTTCATGAAGAATATAGATGGCAAGATAACTATCTCCCACCATATCTCCAGTTATGTGTTAGGTATTTTAATCATATATCACTTGTCCAGTAAAATCCATGTTTTCACACATACCGTATTTTTCTAATCTGGTACACGTGAAGTCCAGCAGGTAACCTGGTGAATCAGTGTCTGAATGAAGGATACCACAACACTCATAGATTTATAGATACTAGAAATGGAAGCCATATTTTCGGCTGCCAAGAGGAACTCATGGAAAAGCAATTTTCTTCAAACTGTTATCTCCACCTCCTTTTCAGTCAGCGGAAAACACACACCCATTGTAGGCAGCAAATTTCATTTTATGTTGTGAAAATGGAGCACTTTGTTTTGAGAGAGACGATAAGAAATTTATTTTCCTGTCATATCTGCCTTATTTACTGCTTCAGAAGTATCTAGATTCCCCTAATAAAAATTTATGGAATTGTAGAAACCCCATTTCCAAAGCGTTTCTTCATGAAACATCCCCTACTCATTTTCTCTTGTTTCTTACCTCAAGCTCTTGATATTAATTACACTCTATTTGCAAAAAATCCACATCAGATGTTTATGTGGTAGAGATGGTTTCTGTTTGGAATGGAGTGTCATCTTGTTTATGATTTCCCACAATAGAAGCATTAGTCCTTACTTTCTGAATGCTCTAACCAGATAGTTTGCAGAATATTGTTTTTACACATAGTCAGGTACTCTACACACACCTACCCGTATGATAGGGACAAGAGAGTCACTTATGGCAATGAGAAGGAAACAATTTATTTTTCTTCTGTTCAGTAAAGTCAACTGAAGAAGTCTGCATCACAGTCTAGGTGGCCCTGCTGATTTTTTCTTTTCCTGTCTACAGTTCTTAAACACATCGCCCAGTCACGAAAATCTGAACCTGGACAACCCTGCACTAACCTCCACGCCGGTGTGTGGCCATAAGGTGGCTGTTACCACCCCATTCCACAGGGACCAGACTTTCAAAACTCAGAAGGAAAATCACATGTAAGTTTTTTTCTCACGCTGCCTTGCCAGGTTCATGAGAGTTCATTTTTTACAGGTTTGCATGCACCCAAAGTTCTGGCTGTGTGCTTCCTGTAGAGTTATGTGCTAATGCATTCAGATTTTTCTTAGTTTGGAATAAGACTTCCACTGCATAACTGCAGAGGAAGGCTGTTACCATGCACATAGGCTCATCAGTTGTTTTTTTTTTTAAATAAAGCCATTCTACCTTATTCAAGTTAAATAGATGTTCTTCCAGAAGAGCACAGAAGAGCAAAACGGATTATATGGTTGAAGGAAAATATTTGTCAAAATCTCACCACAATGATTGCTTTTATGCATGTGTTTTTGTAAGGAGTTAATATTTCCATCCAGTTCCTTTAAAGTTTTTTTCCTCTTTCTAAAGTTTCAGAACTCCTGCAATCAAGAGGTCGATATTAGAGAGCTCTCCAAGAACACCCACTCCATTCAAAAACGCACTTGCAGCTCAGGAAATCAAATATGGTCCTTTGAAGATGCTGGTAAGAAGGAAACAATGATAAAAGTTGCTTTGATATTAGTGTAGAGGGATGTTCTGGGACCCGTGTGTAACGTTTCTTCCTTTCAGCCTCAAACTCCGACTCATCTTGTAGAAGATCTGCAGGACGTTATCAAGCAGGAGTCAGAGGAATCTGCGATAGTGGCAGGGCTACATGAAAGTGGACCCCCTTTGCTGAAGAAAATCAAACAAGAGGTAAATCGCAAACTTACTTGAGGCAATTTAATTCAGCCCTCTTTGCTGAGAAACTTAGACCAATACCTTTTCTATTAAAGAGCTGTGTCTGTTTTTCTTTCATGTGAGCCCCAAGATCTTACTGTCAGTTCTATATAGTGTACTAGGCATGTCTAATTCATCTCCCATTGATTTCCATAGAAGTCTTTCTGCTGTTTTCAGCAGGGGTTTGCTTAGGCTGTTCTAATGCAGTTTTCATTTGAAACTTAAAAAGAAAAAAAATTAGACAGGAATTTGGATTGAATCTTTCTAATACTGGTGAAGACTATAGAAGAACCCCACGGGGACCAAGCTACATGGAGTGATTTAGAAACCTGAACATTTTGGGATGCTGCATTATATCACTTTGTCACTAAAATTCTAAAAATACATATATTCTCAGTCCTTTTTAGAGGATTAAACTCTTGAATACTGACAGAACACTGAGTGCAAGTATTCAAAGTTATATTAGGGGATTTTTTTGAGAACCTTGAACATCATTTTCAACAAAGAGCAAGGTTGCAGTAAAAGAAAGTACTGTAAATGTGTGTTATGTGCAGCTGTGAAGAATATTTGTTCAATTTGTTAAACAACTGACAGATTGATCTCTCTCTGGTCAGTTAGATGCTGGGTTTTATCGCGGTGCCTTTCCTGCTTTCAGGTGGAGTCTCCTACAGATAAAGCTGGAAATTTTTTTTGCTCAAACCACTGGGAAGGAGAAAACCTGAACACTCAGCTCTTTACACATGCATCTTCCATGGAGGATGTGCCAGTAAGTGCATATTTTCACACTGCCAAATGATTATTTTATTTTACATCTGTAAAGTTCTTAAAAGGAAGAGAGAATTTTTTTTGTTTGACCTTCCTCGCAAGTAAGCATTATTCATTACTTCTGTATTGTTTTCCTGTATTAAACACGTAATAATCAAAATCCTGCTCTTAATTAGGTTGCTATGATGCCTATAGAAGGTAGCTGATGTTGCAGTCGCAGCCTGTGCAGTCTGCATAGAGTGTGCTCTTGGAGAACTACTGCATCTGTGTATTGGAATGACTGGACTGCAGAGTTAAAACTGTTAAAAGAACGAGAGGCTCTGCTTTGTTTTGTGCAAAGGGGGCCTGGCTTATGCATGGATCTGTGCCTCACCAAGATTATTCTAAATTGATGTTTCTCTTGTACTTGAGAATTTAAGGCTGAGTGCTGCATTTGTGGCAGTGCCCACCATTGCTTGCTTCACAGTCAGGCTGAATTTGCTTTTAGTACATTCAAATTCAAGTGGTTTTCTTAAATACCTGAAAACATTTTTTTTTTTCTTTCCTTCCTTGTTCAGAATCTTCTTACCAGCTCAGTTTTAAAGATGCCAGTGTCAGAAGAGGAGAGCAGTTTCCACAAAACATTTGCTGTACCTAGGAACCGGCCACTAGCTAGCCCACTGCAGGTAACAAAACATACACTTGTACGTATGTATGTTGATAGTATGGCGTTGGCCAGAGCTTGTCAGCTGTCTTGGGTTGGGAGAATGGACCTGGGCAGCCCAGCTGTGCCAGCACAGGTTCAGCCAGCACTCCTGGCCAGTTGCAGCCCAACACTGTGCTGCCATGACACGGGGCTAGGGTCTGTCCCCAAGGGCTGCTCTGTTGATGCACCAGAGGTGGAGATGTGAGTGATGGTCTGCACTGCTTCCTTAGCACTCCCTGGACATCCTAGAGCCCCTGAGCAGAATTAAAATTGTGACTGTTTTAATGTCAGCCGGGTGTCAGGCTGGATTTTGGGTAGCTGTGGTTGTTCCTGGTGTTAACAACAAATGTATAAACTTGCTATATTTTCAAATACATAAATTTCTTTTCCATTGAGCGTGACCTAAAGCCCACCAAAATCCTTAGCAGCCTTTTTGTCAATTTGTGTGGGCTTTAGATCAGGCCCTCACACATCTTTCAGAGAACAAAACACAGTGTAGATAGTGATTAATTATCCTTCCACCACAACCTTTGTTTTTGAGGCAGGTGGATAAGTGATTTTTTTATCCCTTCTCCACGTGGGTGGGTTGGGAGAAAGTCATTCTCCAGAGTGAGTCACGTCAGAAAGGAAACCATAAATAACACCGCAGTTACTGACTTTCGGACAGTCTACACAGCTAATCCTTTCTTTTCCTGCTTCTATTCAGAATTTACATAAGGGGTTATTTACAATAACAAAGAATGAACAGAACAGGGTTTGCATCAAGGATCTCTAGCCTGGCATTATAATGTAAACTACTAAAATTTTACACACAGCCCCATTTTTGCATTTCAAACATCAGTAGTATGTCCTTGCTACTCAGGCTCAGGGGTGGTCATCTGGGTACTGAACTTGAACCATCTCATGGTGGAACAGCCCATGGCTCCCACTTTGGGGACACATTTGAGGGCACACCTGAGAGGCCATATCCCGTGCTCCTTAGTAAGGTTAGGGCAAAATGTTGAGTTAGCTAACATTTTGGTAGAGATGTGTGTTGTCTTGTTACATGGTGGTTGCCTGTGCTCTGCCTGTAATAAAAATGCAGCATCTAAGGTGCATGTCAAGTAGGAACTTTTGATCTTGGGCATAACAATGTTATGTTTCCTGCTATCTAAAAATAATTTTTTAACAAGCCGCTGTAAATGAAAGAGCTTGTTTAACCTTCTCTCCTAACTTATGCTGACTTTGGTCAGGAAGTTTACATAAGTCAGGTTGTAGGTTGTTCTGGATCCCATTCTTTACTCCTTGGTCAGGAAAAGTCCTTAGTTTTGCATGTTAGAAGTCAGATATCCTTATTGTTTGGATAAAGAGGACTTTTCCTTGAGTAGAAACTGAGTTAAGAAGAACTTTCCATCTCATTTCAGTGCTTAAGAAGTGTTGAACCAAAAGACAAAGCAGTTGTAAGAAGCCCCAAAATGAATGCTTAGATTCAGCTTCTTGGTGTACCAATATGTAACCCTCTTTGCTGATGAGGAAGCATTGAGCATTTCAGCTGAAATGTAAGCAAAAATGAGGCTAGAGGTAACTGTGTCTGTGGCATCGACAGTTTTTTCAGAATAAAACACAGGCGTTTTATAACAGTGCTGTACCATTTGTCCCTCACTGTGCTGTCTGTGCTGGACTTGGTGTCATTGGTTAGGAAGGAGCATCTGCTTCCTCTGCTGTAAGACTTGCTTGGTCTCACATCAGAGGGGTATTTGGTGCTGTATAGTACAGAAAGGAGCCATGGTCTGGGTCTGATGCATGCCAAAAGGGATATACTACTGCTGTGCCCCTAATGCTTTTCCCCATTCACCTATAGAGAGGACATGACCTGTCTAAAGGGTGCAAAGTGGTTGAAAATGCTGGCATTTGTGCTTCAGTTTTGACTTGTAGCATTTTGCATGGATCAGATGTTAGCATGTTATCATTCTACACTTTCTGATTCATAATTTGTTGTGTTGCCCATATACAGATAGGCATACACACACACGGACACGTATAAATATTGGACTCAATCCATTGATTCCATGCAGGTAGAAATGAAACACTAGAGAACTCTTCGGAGTGAAATGTAATTGTGTCTGTGTATGTTTACATTGCTGTTGTTAATACTTTGGGTCTGATCCAACCTTTCTGACTTAGGCAAATTTCATTGACTCTAGTCCAAGTAAGAATTACAGCACTCTTTCCACCTTCGGCTGTGTGCATGGAGAAGGGAAAGAGAGAGAGAGTAGAGAGAATGAGCTACACTTTTTTTTCCCCCCACAGTTATGCTTTTAATACAATTTGTTCCTAAAATTTTATTTTATTTTTTAAAATTAAACTTTTGTAAGAGGGAAGTAGTATGTTTATAAGTCTGCAGTATTTTTCATTGCTTTAGTAACTTTCACTGCCTGTACTTAAAGAAAAAGGCACGTGTCTGGCCACAAACTCACTGGAGTCTTGTTAGTTACAGATGTTCCATGCAAACTCTCAGGATGTAGAGCTGGTCATGCACAACTTGGTAAATAGTTGCTGATGAATAAATCGTGATTCACCATCAACTTGGGAGGAACAGTATGTCACAGCATTTGGCATGCAAAGACAGGTAGCTGGATATAACCACTCTGGGAATAGGGTGCTATCAGTTTTGCACTAGTGCAAGAGAGAAAAACAGTAGAGAAACTTGGGTTTACACTCTTGTTTGTTCCCCTCTTCATAAAATGTTGGGTGTATTAGCATCTGTATGTAGGGTTTTTCTGGTAAGGTATGAGGATTCAGCCAGCACTTTTGTCCTGCACAGTGAATCTCATGGTTATGTATGGGATGTTCTTTTACTGTCAGGAACAGGAGATGTCTCGCCATCCCACTGTGTTGTCTTAGGGTGGAACTGGTCTTAGAGTGCATTGCATGAATCCCAAGTACTTTTATTTTGTGTTTGTTGGAGCTAGCTGCAACCAGTACCCTACATTTTTGTCACTCAAAGTATACTCAGTCTCACTGCAGAGAGATCTTGGCTTCGTCAAGAAATTCTTCAAGGGTTAAGATTTTGGGATAATGTCTGAAGACCTTATTGAGGCAGACTGAAGATCTGTACTGAGTTTCACTTGAACTGCACCAAATAAGAGGTTACATAAAAATGATGTTCCTGGCTGTTCCTGTCTAAAAGTTACATTTTATTTCACATTATGTTCTGTAGCCAGTGACACAAGTAGCAGAGCACAATACAAACTATCCTAACATAGACATTTTAACAGTTAGAAAAGTAGGCTAAATCATAGGCCATCCACCTAACCCTGCGGGCTATCAAAAGACACCATGAAATGGAACCTTTTAAGAAAATAGCACTGCTTTGATATCTTCTTCCCCCACTAACAAAGGAAACAACGCAGGGTAAAAGACCTGCAAGCTAAAGAGAATGTTCTTAAACCCATAGCTCCTGTCACTTTCCATTTTTTAACCACAGACTGACACGTTTCAGCTCGAATTTCCTGACTTTCAGCGGTTTATGTAACCCTTTTCTTTAAAGAGTAAGTCTAAAGGATTTTAAAACAGTTACTTGGTTAACCTTTTCGCGATCGTGAGCTGTCATTACGTTATTTTTCTCAGTTAAAAAAGAATTGTGGAATTTCATTTGCAGCTTGTTGTTAGACAGTGCTTACGGGCAAGGCAGCACACCCTTCTGCATCAGCACATTTCAAGTGGAGCCTTTCTTTTACTCCTCTCTGTGACTCCTGAGGAGCAAGAGGGTCTCATAGTCTTATTCCCTTCTTTGATTAATCAAGGGGAAAGGGGGAAACATGCTGTGCTCAGTTCCTGGGAATTTCAAGATTTTCACTGGAAAGAGAAGTAGCCCTGAGGGTGTTATCCTTTCTCTCATGTTCTGTGCTTTGCATAAGTGACAGAAGCAAAAGGTGGTTGAGAAGTACAGGTCAGCCATTGGGTGCTTTCCTCCCAGAGCAGCAGAATTTAGGTTGTGAACAACTCAGCAGATGTAGCTGCCTGCTGCAGATGCAAAGGTCTCTGCTTTGAGAAGCTGCAGAGCTGTTGCAGAAAATGGACCATTTGACTACCAACCATTTGCAACGTGTTCTGATTTGTGAATAAAATAAAATTACTTAAGGTCACAATTAGAAAGGTGTTGAATATCCTAATGTGAGTTGCAAGTTCTCAGACCATTTCCATATCTCTCGCATTAATCTTAGAAAGCTCATACATTTTGATCATGGGTTTTGTCTAATGAAGGGCTTCAGAGTTAAGCTCTTAAAAGTGCCACCAAAAGAGGTCTGCTAGCACTGATATCAGACTTATCATAAAAGCTGAAGAGCTGGGCCATCCTATTCTCACACATGTAGCAAGCTGTAATTCTGAAAGTGGGCAGAAACCTCAGAATTTAGGAAAAGACCATCCCATGCCTCAGAGGAACAGGAATGGTGTTTTGCCTTCTCAAATGGAGTAGAGGACTGGAGTAGTTAACTGGTCTAGGAGGGCTTCTTTTTTTCTCATCCTCATGCAGTAGAAAACCAAATTGTCCTAGATGATACTTTACCACAGTGCAAGGAAAATGCTTTGTTTCGAGCTATGGCATTGATCGTTTCACTGCAAAGGAAAGAATTCTACATTTCTGTTCTAAGTCACCTTTTCTGTGGCATGTGCTGCAGATTATTTAGCCAGAAGGCCAGCTTTTTGCAATAGGTAAAAAGTCTGAGATACCTTCTGGTAGTCTGAGCGTTCTAGATGTTGAAAACATTTTGGGTATTTTAATTAAAGTCCAAAGAGCAAATTTCCATGAGGTTTTCTTTCCTTACGGTTCTGTTTTCTCTAGATGGTCCAAGTTTTTATTTAAAGTGCTTTAACTGGATATCCCAGTTAAACAGTCTGTACTGCTGCTCACATCTGCCCAAGGGCAGCTGGAGGTACCTTGCAGGATAAGTGAGGTAGTCCCACTGCCAGGAGAAGGATGTGCTGAGGGGATTACTGAGGTTAAAAAAATGAAGCAGTGAGAATGACACATCAGGAATTGACTGGAGGTCTGTGATTTTATGCTATGGGAACTCACAGTAGCATAGCTGCTTCTTCACGAGTCCCAGTTGTAACTGAAGAAGTTGCTGTGCATGGAAGAGCAAAATGCAGCTGTGGAAATACTGGCAGAGAAGGCTTAAACTCTTTTAATTAACAGCAAAATTAAGAGTAGTGTTCTGCTCTTTCAGCCAATGGAAGACATATGGAATTAATCGTACCACAGAAGTCTCGTTCTTTCCCCACTGGCTAAGAGGGGAACACCCCACTCTTAGATGGCTGAATTGAAATGGAATGAATCCACTGAATCAATGAAAGCACACCTATCAGTGTCAGTGAGTTTGGGTCAAGCCGTTTGGCTTCTAATTACATAGCTTTTGTGTTTCATCCATTGATTTGCAGAGCAATAGGGGAGACACAGTGAGTGTTTTCCACAAGGAACATTTCGATTTTGTTTCTGTGCTGTTTTCCTGTGTACCCCAAGCTATTTGCCTGGTCTCCTCTCTTCTCATAAGTCCTGGAAATGCTGCTGTCTGCAGGGCAGTGATGCTTTCCAGTAGCAGAGTCCTGTCAATACTCACCGAGATTCTGGCATGGAAGGAAGCGCCGTGCTTCTCAGCCTCCAGTTTTGCTTTCCCTTTTTGCTAAGCGATCCATTAGCTGTGGATGTTCAGCCCAGGCAACATGCTGTGCATCAGTCATGGGACCCAGCGCTCGCTGCCAAGAGCGGCAGTCGAATCTCTCGCCTTCAGATGACTTTCACACATGCCTCCAGTGCCGCGCGGCAGGGCTGGCAAGGCAAGGCATTGTGCTTTGTTATGTGCTCACTGCTCGGAGCCAAGGCTTCGGACGGGAAAAGTTTATTAAAAATACCTACTGTAAATGTTACCCGAATTCCCCAGGGTAAAATTGAAATACGCCGCTGTAGTGAATACACTACTTTGGGTCAAATCCTTCTGTATTCGCCAAGCTCTCACCGTCTTCAATGAGAGCTCGATGTAAGCTGTGAATTTGCATTGTAAATTGTCCCAAAAGAGAAGGGGAAAAAAAAAAAATAGTGTAATGGATTTCTGGGAAAATACTACCAGGGTCAAAATTGAGTAATGTGGACTGTCCTGTGCTGTCCTTCCAGGAGAACTTGAGTAAGAAGTTTGGGGCAGACGTGTGCTGGGGACCCTGCTCCCCCAGGGTGCGTGGACAGCTGGCTCTGAGGGAGGGCAGGGGGCTGCAGCCCGTGCAGCGTCTGCTACGCCTCTGGCATAGCAGAGTGAGGAGCAGGCTTCAGGTGGAAGGAGTGACGTGCAGCAGCCTGCTGAGATGTGGGAGATACGGGATGGGGATTTTGTTTTTTTCTTTCCTAAGCACATGGCTGTTAATACAAAGAGCTCAGTGTAGGTACTAACAATGAAATGTAATTAATGAAATTGGGACACTACTTGCCTCAAGTTACTTCCATTTTTTAAAAAACTGGCCTATAGGGATGGATGGGCTTTCCCTTACATATTTACAGTTACCTAGGGTTCTGCTGCTCTAACTTCTCTTAACCAGTTACTTTGAAGCTTTGAAAGGTCACAGGGAAGTACTGAATGGACACATATTTCTCTGCCTCAAAATGATGGATATTTTGTAGTTGCCAATTGCTTTTGAGATGGACAGACCGTACCTGACTTCTAAGCAAAACTATGGCATTGTGGCAACAATTACTTTGGTCCCTGATGCAAATGCCTCTAAAATAGCAAGGGAAAGTATTTGCAGGTGCCCAAGTCCCACTGAGGATCAGCAGGAGGCTGTGGGTTGCCAGCTGATGTAGGCACCTTTGAAAAAGTTACCCTGGGAGTTGTTTAACTAAAGTATAAAAGAATCTGTGGCGTGTCATATGCAAAAAGTGTGTCACACCTGCTTTTGGCTGCAGTGTGCACCCAAGGCTCACAGCACAAGCTGCCCAGGCTGAACCACTTTTGTAAGAGGTAGCTGTGTGTTTGTTCATTTCACAGATGCGGGTTTCCCACAAAAAGCTGTAGAAACTAATGAGTTGAGGCTGGACCTTTTTCTCCTTTACACAGGGAATTCCTACTGAAATTGAGCAGGAGTTCAGCCTGCAGAAAGGCATCAGTAGCAGAGACAATATTTGGAACTTGTCTACAGATAAGAGAGAGCTATGTCTGGGGAACCTGAGGACTAACCTGCATTTCCCCACCATGGTCACACAGCTCATTCACTGCTTTTATCCATTTTAGGCTGCAAGCCTTCCAGAGCAGAGAACCTCTGTCCTTGTGTAGCAGCGCCCTGATTAGGGCCTGTAATGAAATTTATCTGCACTTCCTATGTTGCCTTCTGACTGCACATGTCTTGGATAACACTGTTTACAACCCGAAGAGCATTCTTCAGGAGGATACTTTAAGGATCCTCTTGCACAGTTAGCAACTAGAAGGAGCAGCATAAAGAACCATGGGCATCCTGGGGTGCTTCTGTTCTTAGCAGCCAGTTTGCAGTTCAGTAAGAACACTTGCTTGGTGCCCTAAGTGTTGAGAAGGCTTTGGCCACCTCATTGAGTGATGTAGATCTTGAGCTGTAAAGATTAACCTTGTTGAAAGTAGAGGAAAGCAGGGAAAGGTTTCTCTTGATTTGTGTTTTTTGGTGGATCTTGGGCTTAGACCTTCTTAATCTTGAGGGGTCCCATGAACCCCTTGCTGGCAGGCAGCTTTCATGAGCACGGTCGTGCACATTTTTGGAATTTATGCTTAGCTGTCTGTATCTAATATGGTTTTTATTCAGGGTTTAGTGAATATCTCAATGTGGAAAAACAAATAAACTGAGTAATTGAAAGAGTTGAAGCACAAAAACAATACACGTATATGAGTGTGTGTGTAATACTGGTAAGTTCCAGGAGCTTTGAAATTTCATTACTGTTTATAGCTTAAGGCAATGAGAAACATCTTGTATGTGTAGGGAGTAAATAAACAGACTGTGCACAGCCTTCTGTGCAGATATGTTTATCTCAGTTCAACATTATACTAAATGGTGTCTCTAACCTCCATAAATACCACAAGAAGCAAAATGGCTTTCTTGATAATTAAAATGCTGCTTCTGCCAAGGGTCCCCCCACGTCTTCTCTGTTGCCAGAGGAGCTCTGCTCACAGGCACATGCTAATTGCTCCACGCAGGTGAAAGCAGCTTCGGGCACAGAGCTGCTTGCTCGCTGTGCTCGGGTCATCAGAGTCCTTAGTATGGACTTAGAGAGAATAAACTGTGAGTGGGAACTTGAGAGCCATTGAATCCTGGCTCTGCTGGTGTGCTGTTGTGCGGCTGGTCTGGTTGTCCACCCTGCAGTCACAGGCTGAGATGCACGGATGGAGCTTTTTTCCTGTTGTTCTGAGGGACCCCTCTCTTTGCAGTTGGCACAGCGCCCCAGTGCAGGCTTGCTCGATACCTACTGCCAGGTTTGCAGCTGGGGGCCCACAAACAAATGCCTTGACGTCCACCCCAAATCTTTCCTCTTGTTTCCAACATAGCATTTGAACAACGCTTGGGAGTCGGCGTCTTGCGGGAAAACCGAGGACCAGATGGCCCTGACCGACCAGGCACGCAAGTACATGGCCGCATTCCCAACCCGGACTCTGGTGATGTGAAAGGGCCGACGGACTTCTCCGGAGAAGCATTATGGTTGGCAAACACTCCTCGTTCACTGGGAAGTCCCTGTTCCTCTGCACGAGGACTTTTCGTGAATGGGAGACGAGCCTATCTTTGTTGTGGTACAACAGTTGGGAGAGCACGAAGTGCATTTAGTCACTGAGCATATATTTTCTTGTTGGATTTCACCCAACTTAAGAGAATTTTCTTTTTTTTTTTTTTTTTTTTTGTTTTGAGTGAATGAACGATACTTGCCTAAATTATTAGGTACAAAGTTTTAATCAGTAATTAATGATCTTAAGTGCAGACTTACAATACAGGCAATTTTTTTTTTTTGTACTTTCTGAGATCAAGCAGACGTGATACACCAGTATTGTTATTTCAGTGATGTGCTATCCAGGGGTGGGGGTTTGTTTGTTTTTTATTGTTTTATAATAACAGAGCAGGTACTCAAACAGATGTATTTTAAATCACTGAACAAAATGCATTGGTGTAAAATATTGAAGTAAAAAAGCATTACTACACGTGCTAGTCTGTGCAAAGGGGGAAAACTGATCCAGTTCGTGAATGCTCAGACATCCATTCCTCTTGAAATACTCTTTCATTCTGTTTATGGTTCTAGACCATTATACGTTGTGTGTTTCTGTTGGGGGGTTAATTAGCTTGCTTTAAAAAAATATTACTGTATGAAACATAGATTTATAAGAAAAATTATATTTTTATTCAGTAATTTAATTTTGTAAATGCCAAATGAATACTGTGTTTTGCTGCTAAAGACCTTAGCGTGTAGACATGCTGCTAGTGTAAAAGGAGCAGTAGAGCTTTATATGGGAAGAAAACAAATGTTGATGTTAGCTAATTGACTATGCACTAGCATTTCAGACTTTTTTATTTTAATTTTTTTTTACATCATTTATATTCCCCCCCGCCCTTTCTTTTTTTTTTTTTTTTTAATAAGCAATATTTTTAAACACTGTTCCTGGGAGATTATTATTATTTTTTTTAATTGTCTCAATGTGTGGTTTTGTTTCACATTGGTTCGTAACAGCATGTATTGCACCTTCATATGTTTGGGAGAACACTGTCTTGTTCGTGTTATCTGTTTTGTTCCATGTCTAGCTAATTGTTCCCTACCTTGGGTCTCACGTACTAAATCAGGTTCTTAGAAATACATGGTTCTTTGTACTGCCATACCAAATCTTTATCGGTATGGCAAAACACTGATTTTATTTTATTTTTTTTAATTGTCCTCTTTTTTTTTTTTTTTTTTTTAAATAACAGCCTTTGAATTTGCTGCCTTAATAGCATTTGGTGCAGCTTCACCTGCACTTAATTTTTTATACGACAATGTACTGCCTTGTAGATAAATAAAGTGTGTTCTTTTTTTACTTAAACCCATATGGTCTCCTAATCTTATTTATCTTTAGTGTTTAGGCAGTGTTCTAGGCAACAATCTAGACAAGAAGTTTTTTTTCCAGCACACTTAGATAAGTAAGGAATAGTGTTGCATACACCATAAGTAGCCTCAACATCCTCAGTTGCTGAAAAGCTGAAAAAGCACAGCACAAGACTGCCCATGGGACACTGTGGGCTCAAGGTACATCTGTGGTGACATGAAGTCCAGGTCAGCCTCAGCCGGCGGGAGGCTTTATGCATTTTTTGTGCCAAACTGCTCTTCTCCCAAAATACTAGCTAACTTATTTCTTCATTGAAGACCATCAGATCAGGGACCAACAGAGTTAAGAGTAAAATATTCTGGAGCTCCTCTACTAAAATATTACAGACTTTTCCATGCTTTCTTAAGAAACCAGAGGTTGGTATATATTTTGAGACTCAAGCACATAACTTGGTACAGCATGTAATTGGGCAGACCTGAAAATGTCCAGCCCCAGGAAAGCTAGAGAGTATGGACTTACAAAAAAAGAAAAAAGAAAAAAGAAAAAGCGAACAACTTGCCAGGAAAACTTTATTAAGGATCCTGAAGTGCATCCTTTGCTGATGGTTATGTAAGCTCTCCAAAGTCGTCCTTGAGAGCAGAGTTCAACTCTGTGCAGGAAGCAATTGAGGTCAGTCCTCAGAGCTCTCTGTAGGTTGCTGGTAAAGGCTTGGACGGCTTCATAGTCTCATGGCTGCTCAGAGCAGAGATGTCCCAGCAAGGATGTGTACCATGATAGGAGTATCCTTTGCTCCTCTGCTCTGCTGGGCTCATATTGGGCACTGCACTAATTTTTGAGAGGGGAACCTGAGCTTTTCAGGATCCTACAGGTTGGCACAAGGAGTGGGAGAGGATTGATGAAGAGAAGGACCAATTTCCGGGCTTATGTAGCAGGGGGTCCAGGGAGAGCCAACCCTGAGGTAGTTCTAGAGCAGTTACTGCAGGCAGGACCATGGATCTGAGTAGAGATTACAGAGAAGAGGAAGTCTGAGGGAAGTCTGAGGGAGTGCTTGTGTGTGAAGGTTGTGGGCTTGAGCCATAGAAATGCTTGTGCAAGATGTGTGAGGGGACTGCAGGACTGCATGGCATGCAACTTGGGAAGGGGGAAAGGTCTGCCTTTGGAGTACGCCACAGTTTAAGCAACACGTTACAGCTTAAAAGCAAAAAAAAAAAAAAAAAAAAAAAAAAGAAAGAAACACCAGGCATACAATCCAGACTCAGAGGGAAAGCTCTTGCCATATGGGGCTCCAGCTGCAACTGTACCGGGCATGGCTGCATTTAAACAGATTATCACAGAATCACAGAATGGCCAGGATTGGAAGGGATCTCAAGGATCATGAATCTCCAACCCCTCTGCCACATGCAGGGTCACCAACCTCCCCATTTAATACTAGACCAGGCTGGCTATCTAGGGTCTATCTATCTGCACAGTGCAGAGCAGTGCTGGGAAGCACAGAGGCTCACCTTGCAGGTGCCCAGCATGAGGATTTTTTTTTTTCCCAAAGTCTACGGTTGCCTAAAATGCACTTTTACATGCAAAATCATTGCCATAATTCTCTTGTTGATGGGCATGCTTACCTCTAATATAGAGGAAAATGTTTCTTTTTCCTCCTCTCTCATTTCATTGAAAATGCAAAACACTTGCTAGATTAGGGGAGATTTACATATGATTCTGCATGCATGTGGCGCTCAGCATGAGTGAAGGAAAAGGCTTTGTTTGTATGCTGTAGCCCAGGAACCTAATTAGTTTTCCTCCACCAATACTCAATAAATTTCCTTTGCTACCTCCTACATATCTTTCTCACACAAATATCCCCCCCACGTGACTATGTTCTGCCTATAGTCAAAATACATGCCTTTATTCCAGCAGTTCAAGAGGTGTCCTCTGTGACTGTCAGATTCTCTCTTGTGTATTGGGCAAGCAAACTCTGTGTAAATGGTGTCAGAGGGCAGATGTTTGGCCTTGCAGTGACCCTTTGTGCAGGTCTATAGCCATCCCAGACCCATTCAAAGTCAGAGTAACCTACCAGAATGAAGGGGAAACAGGTTCAGTCAAGTTCTCATTTAATGGAGGTAAGATATTTGGCTCAAATTCCAACTTAATAATGTTGTCAGTGGGAATTCTTTTGATTTCTGAAAAGAATGTAAATTATAATTTCAGCATGTGCCACTAATTAAAAATAAAGAGGCAAAGGAGCCAGGGCAAAAATAAAGGGAAATACCAGAGCATGAGGTGTTTCCCAGCTAGACTATGTAACCCTCTAGCTTTCCTCAGCATACTGTTCCTCAGTAAGACATACTCTGTCCCAGAAGTAGGACCCATGGGACTTGAAATCCTATGACTTCAATCCCACAGCTCATACCTCTGTGACAAGCATCAGACTACATTGAGAAGGTGCCAGAGATGGAAATGTTTTAGGAAAAAAACAAAACAAAACAAAACAAAAACTGCCATTTGAATGAACAAGAAGTTAGGAGCCAAAACTGCAAGTCTGCTTGAGGGTAAAGCACAGTTCAGCATTGGATATTCTGTAACATGAAGTGATTTTTCAAATAAACCAGAAGAAAATGTGCTTTTTTTCTCAGTATTTACTGTCTGGATACTTGTCCAAGCTAGCTAACTCAGTGGCCACCAACTCTTTCTGAAGCATATATAGCCAGTCACATAAGAAGAGAATGTTGCTGTAGGGCTGTAGCATCGTGGTCTTCACCTCCTCCTACTCCTGCCACATTTAATTGTACTTCTGTTCTATGCCAGATGTGAGACAGGACTGATGGCAAAGTTCAGAAAGCAAATATATTCTCATGAATCTACTAAAAAACTCGATATCCCTTGACATGAAAAAGACTATCTTAAAAATATCCCTATTTGGGAAAGATGAATGATTCTAAGGCATTGTTCTGCATTTTACTTGCCTCCTTATTCCCTGGCATAACTGGTATCAGCTGATAGCCCCAGTGCTGCTCAGGCTCAGTGTTCTGATGCTCTAACTGGGCAGCCAAGGAAAGACACTGCCCGCCTCTCCCAATTACTGGAATAGTGTCCTAATTCAGATAGAAATCATCATTCCTGATCAGATGTGCTTGTTCCCTTTGTTTGACTCTTTTCTTTGATCTTGACTTAGAAGTCTCAGCAGTTTTCACTAAAGATCCCTGGTACTACCACAAACTCATCTGTGACTTCTTTGCTCTCAGTGACTCCTACAGGTAACATAATAAAGATAAATCATGAAGGTCCAAATTCTGCCTTCAGATGTGCTTGCAAACTGACACTGGACATGCAACATGCATTGTTAAATTGAAAATGTAGCCACTCCACCATTATTTGTCTGTAAGTTCTTTATGATCATGGTTTTTCACACTGCCTCTTGATACTTGAATATCACAACAGTTACTGATTTTGTTTTACTTCTTAACAAGCCTCTGCCTCTTGGGCTGCATGGATGCCCATTTACAGACTTGCTCATCTTACACCTGAGGAAATTCCATTTCCTGGGGAAAGAATTCTTCTAGCTGATCAAATTACTGCTCATCACTACAGATTCAGCACACAATTTTCACACATGCCTGTCAGAGAAGTTTTCACCAACAGCAAAGAAGAAAGTTTCAGGAAGTTCTCTCTGATGAACAGGTTTCTACCCTAACCATTGAGACCATCTCTGTATCTCCCAGTTCCTGCAGGCCCGGCTGCAAGCCTGCCGTGGCAGTCCTGATAAAGTCAGCAGTGTGAGAGTCTTGAAAGTGTGCATGCAGGTGTGCTTTCCTGCAAGCCCCATCTCTGCTCGCT